AATAAAAGCAAACTGTGTTGGATGTCAAAATTCTGGGAACACACATTCACTAAGAGACGTTCTACGTGTAATCAGGCAAAACTGGGCCGTGAGGCGCTGTGCAACAAGGCTCAACTCTCCTTTCGCTTACCGTCCCGTGCTCCGATTTCACAGAGAGTTTGCTCTGGAATTGGAACACTTTGGTGAGTTGAAGAGACCACTTCAAGAGAGACATTTATAAGAGAGGGAGATGTTAATAGTGTTAGGACTTCCGCTCACAGCCCCGGCTCAACACCACCTGAAACATTAGTTTGTAGACATGTCAACACAAAGGTTTAACAAGGTGGGAGCCGTCTGTCAGAGAACACACACACACACGCTTGACAGGGAAATAAAGGATGGATTATTTAACACAGGAAAAGGAGACACAGGTGGAAGCTGAGTACCCAAATGAGCCACAGAGACATTAGAAAGAACTTTTTCAGAGTGGTTAGTAAATGGAATGCACTAGGAAGTGATGTGGTGGAGGCTGACTCCATGTACAGTTTCAAATGTAGATATGATAGAGCCCAGTAGGCTCAGGAACACGTACATTCAGTTGATTGACAGTTGAAAGGCGGGGCCAAAGAGCCGAACCTTAACCCCCGCAAGAACACATGTAACTGGGTTAGAATAAATATATAAGAACGGGGGACAGACAATATTTTTAGACTGCCAGGAAGCCTTTGACAATACCTCATAACAGACTAGTGCATAAGCTGGAAAAGTAGGCATGAGTGATAGGGAATTCTCCAGTGGATAAGGGAGTACCTACGTAACTGAGCACAGTGTGTCACTGTGAGGGCTGGGGTCTCAGAGTGGTGAGATGTCACTAGTGGAGTCCCACAGGGTTCAGTCCTTGGACTTATCATGTTTCTCATATGCAAATGATCTTCCTGAGGGAATAGACTCATTCCTCTCAATGTCTGCTGATGATGCGAAAATTATGAGGAGATTTGAGACAGAGGAAGTCAGCAAGAGGCTACAAGGTGACCAGGACAAACTGAAGACATGGTTTAATAAATTGTTACTAGTTTAACTGCAATAAATGTAAAATAATGAGGCTAGGTGGATTGAGCAGGTCAGACACAAGGTACCAAATGGGACATGAAATCCTCCATGAAACGGACAGAGAAAAAGGATTTAGGGATTAGTCTCACATCGAACCTGTCTCCTAATGCCCACATCAAAAGTATGTCATCAGCGCCACATGCAAGAACGGCTAACACCAGAACTGCCTTCAGAAATTTGTGTAGTCATTTGGAACCTTGTATACCACACACATGTCAGACCAATTCTAGAGTATGCAGCTCAAGCGTTAACTCGATAACTAATTAAGCGCAAAAAATGTTGGAGAAGGTTCAAAGGTAGACCACCAGACTAACTGCTGAACTACGCGAATTGAACCTCGCGTTGCTGGAAGAGAAGAATTAGGGAAGACCTAATTACCCCACAAAGCTCTCAGGGCAAGTGATAGGATCCTAAGGATCACACACGCATAAAGAAGTTGATCTGTTCACTGTTGACGCGTGTATATGGTCAAGTGTGGGAGGGAGGTAGTCACTTGTTGCACGGAGAGGGGGGGGGAGAGGGAGAGGGAGAGAGAGAGAGTGTGTGTGTGTGTGTGTGTGTGAGTGTAAGTGTGAGTGTGAGTTTGTGTGTGTGTGTGTGTGTGTGTGTACTCACCTAGTTGTGTCTGCAGGATCGAGCATTGACTCTTGGATCCCGCCTTTCGAGCATCGGTTGTTTACAGCAATGACTCCTGTCCCATTTCCCTATCATACCTGGTTTTAAAATTAGGAATAGTATTTGCTTCCACAACCTGTTCCTGAAGTGCATTCCATTTTCCCACTACTCTCACGCTAAAAGAAAACTTCCTAACATCTCTGACTCATCTGAGTTTCAAGCTTCCATCCATGTCCCCTCGTTCTGTTACTATTCCGTGTGAACATTTCGTCTATGTCCACTCTGTCAATCCCTCTGAGTATCTTATACGTTCCTATCATGTCCCCCTTCTCCCTTCTTTCTAGTGTCATAAGGCACAGTTCCCTCAGGCGCTCCTCATACCCCATCCCTCGTAGCTCTGGGACGAGTCTCGTTGCAAACCTCTGAACCTTTACCAGTTTCATTATATGCTTCTTCAGATGGGGACTCCATGATGAGGCGGCATACTCTAAGACTGGCCTTACGTAGGCAGTGTAAAGCGCCCTAAATGCCTCCTTACTTAGGTTTCTGAATGATGTTCTAACTTTTGCCAGTGTAGAGTACGCTGCTGTCGTTATCCTATTTATATGTGCCTCAGGAGATAGATTAGGTGTTACGTCCACACCCAGGTCTCTTTCGCGCGTCGTCACAGGTAGGCTGTTCCCCTTCAGTGTGTACTGTCCCTTTGGTCTCCTATCTCCTAGTCCCATTTCCATAACATAACATTTAAGAGGCGGGCACTAAGAGCCAGAGCTCAACCCCTGCAAGCACAACTAGGGAAGTACAACTAGGTGAGTACGCACACCTCACACAGTGTGTGTAAGGTGTCGGGGTGTCACGGCTGAGTGCACAGCGCTCGGGGGTCGTAGTCTCAATGGGCCCAGGTTCGATTCCCGGCAGAGGCCCAAAACAAATGGGCAGTCTCTCTTTCACCCTGATGCACCTATTCACCAAGCAGTAAATAGGTACCTGGGAGTTAGACAGCTGCTACGGGCTGCTTCCTGGGGAAGTGAGTGCGTTTGGTAGACACACATGTAGTAGATGTAATAAGTGGGGAAAATAGATTGGTTAGAAAGGCGGAGTCCAAGAGCTAACAGCTCAAATCTGCAGATACAAATATTAACAGCCGCCCGCGTCCCCGCTAGCAGGAGACTGGCCAAGCCAGCTCGGACTCGCCTCAACACAAGAGAGAGAGAGAACACACCTACCAACTTATAATAATAATAATAATTTTTTATTTAGGTAAAGGTACATACATAAAGAGATTTTACAAAGTTTGTTGGCTTTATAGATAGAGCTAGTACATACAATGCCTAAAGCCACTATTACGCAAAGCGTTTCGGGCACTGCCTCTCACTTGCCGTGAGAGGCAGTGAGTGACGCCTGTGTACTGTCGGTCGAGCAGGCGTAAGGTCGCCATAACCTGGCTGAAAATGATACCTAACACACACACATGGGAAGTGACGGCGGCGAGGCAGTCCTTCCTGGCAGGGCTCTTATCATGACTTGAGTCCAAGATGGACCCCACTTGCTGTCGTTGCCTCTCTTCTCGTGTGTGTATGTGTGTGTGTGTGTGTGTGTGTGTGTGTGTGTGTGTGTGTGTGTGTGTGTGTGTGTGTGTGTGTGTGTGTGTGTGTGTGTGGGGGGGGGGGGGTATCTACTCTTAAGCAGAATATAAATAGGCTGTTAAATAATCACAAAATATGACACGAACCAGTGAATGCTTGTTTAAAAATTGTATAAATACTGGTTAGTAAATAGGGGAGTTGATTTATAGAACAGGTTCCCGGGTAACTCGATTGTTTCAAGCGTAGGTTTGACATGACCTAATTACTTTGGTTGTACGAGGGCAAAATCTCGCGTAGGCCAACATGGGACTTCAACAAATTAAAAATATATGTTCTAATACACATATATACAAGGAAATATGACATGTTACTGTGGGATCACACCAGGAGAGTGAGAGAGAGGCGGGACCTAGAGCTGGAGCTCGCTCTTAGCAAGCACGCTAGTTACTGTCTCACTTATCACTCATCAACTGATAACCATTCAACTGTAAGCCATTAATAACACATCCCAATTACCCTTTCAACTGTCAGACACCACCCTTAACAACCAAACCACCAGCTGCTACTCAGCTTAGTGCCAGCTGGTGGTGATGGCGGGGAAGCCATCACCAGCTGAGACCCACATCACCTTACAACTAGTCCATTCATCTCAATAAGCCATCAAAATACACTCTCAAAAAACCAAGAGACACACTCTATGCTCCACAGAAGACTGCCCAACAGCTCTCTAACACACCATATATAATGTGTGTGTGAGAAGGTAATGGATATCAGGGCAGAGATGGCGTCTGTCTGTCTGTCTGTCTGTCTGTAGAGTTCGTGTAAGTTTGTCGACTCTGCATGGTATCCAAGTCGCTCTGGCTAGTCACGAAAGGTGGGGCTAGGGAGCTCAAACTCGACCATGTAAACGCATTTATATGAAAATACACACGCATACAATAACATACACAGCAATCAGGGGTAGTAGTTCAAAGGACCCGGGTTCGATTCCCGGCAGGGGAAGAAACAAATGGGTAGGTTTTTCACCGGATACCTCCGTTCACCTGGGAGTAAATACTGTAGGTATCGGAGAGGTGGGAATCTGCTATGGGTTGCATTCTGGGGATGTGTGTTAGAAATACATAGAGTACATATGATAGAGGAAAATAGGTTGAGTCACTACATTAGATAATCGACGGTTAGGAAGGCGGAGACCAAGAGCTGATCATCCAAGCACACACACACACAACACAAGCACCCCCGACCACACACCCACACACCCACAACACACACACACACACCCACAACACACACACACACACCCACAACACACACACACACACACACAACACACACACCCACCTCATTGAATTCCTGTAATGAGTGTATACACACACACACACACACACACACACACACACACACACACACACACACACACACACACACACACACACACACACACACACTTGCAATAAACGACACCATCACTCTAAATTGCACAACCTATAATTGAAACACAAAATCCATTACACTCCACGACACGCAACAGCCAGTCTCAACTACGCACTTGTACCAAAGAGTCATTCTATCCTACGCTCTTAACATTACACATCTCTACCCTTAACCCGTCGCTAACCATTCAACCATTCTCTTCTACGCGGATGTTTAGCAGATGAGAAACCACCTGTCAGGCGCGCACACACACCTGTAACAAGACACCGTACACACCTGCTTGAGGACCACGGTGTAGATGTGGGTGTAGAAGACGGCCATGAGGATGCCCGGGCCGACGATGGTGCAGAAGTAGAGGAAGACGAGGTAGTCGTAGTCCATCACCTTGCGGAAGAGGCAGAGTCCGTGGTCGTCATGCTCGTGCCAGCCCATGGTGGGCAGCAGGCCCACTAGTGTCCCCGAGGCCCAGCACGCCAGGATGATGC